CAAAGAGTTGCACCTGAGTTTGGCAGGACTCTCTCTCTCTCTGCAGGTACCGCCATAGGTGTGTGCAAACACAAACTTGATAGCATTGTCGAGCAATTGTTCAGGCTTGAGTGACACTCATCGTTCGGCAGAAGCTGTATTTGCTGCAAGCACAGGGACCATCGGAATTTCTGAATTCCTCGCAACATGGCCTCAGATTCGGAAGTGAGCGGTGTCGATGTGACTGCTACTGCCGTTCACGATTCTCCTGCTCAGGGTCCATCGATGCAGGTGGATGAATTTTCAGGTGTCGACATCCCCTCCGACACTCAGGAAAACCGAGAGGGCCGAGACATTCAAGGGTACTTGGAATCCTTGAACCGGTCACCCACGACCGAGGTTTCTAGTTCATCTGATGCAGACATTCCAGAGGACAGCGAGACCAAGGTCGCCGACCGAACCCCACACATGGGCCCACAGCGAAAGAAGCAACCTCGCCGTCAGCCACCGACAGCGACTAAGGCACCAGGATCAATCGGGAGACAGGCCAGACAAGCTCAGGCTGCACCAGTCGACAGGTTGCATATGGGAGGTGCATTGGAAGCTTTGCTTGCACAGGATGATGTTGAACCTGATGAGACAGGCAGCCACAGCATGGCCTCGGACCACTACCCCGCGGTAAAGTCAGGGTCCCGCGCATCATCAGCCTCAGGAGCATCACCTCACAGCAGGGCTTATCCGAGAGCACAGGCATTCGCCTCTACTGATGCAATCATGCCACCGCCCCCACCTCCTGCACCCCCTCGGCATGCTTCAGACCCCAGGCTGCACATGAGTGATCAGAACCTTGAAACCGAGCATCACATTGAGAGGGATGCCATTGGAGGTGCCATGTCAGTGAAGCTGGTTACCTGGTCTGAGCCTCTGAAGATCACGGCCAACCACACCGATGTGGTCGAAAGGAATGCCAGGTACCTCGGTCGATTGTACCATGAGGCCAAAGTCAAGGAACCACCGGTCATGGAGTGGACCTTCTTGGCCAATGTGATGCAGGCGTACACAGGCAATAAGGAAACCCTGTTTTCACATGTTGTATGCATGGAATCCAAGCAACACCTGTTTTGGATCCACTGCCTCCGGGAGCCCTTCAGCACCAAGGCCGGGGATTCAGCAGTGCATCGACACACCTTGCACTTCGGACATGGCACGAATACTGCCGGGGTCGAGGGGATCATGGACAGTTGTTATCTCGCCCCAGCAACGATTGCAGACGGGGCAGGTGCTGTAGGACACTACAGCCAAGCCTCACCGTGGGGAGATTCCGAGAGTCTGAAGCAAGTTTTCGACAGAGTTGTGCAGTCAGGAAAGTGGCAGTGTCCTGTCATGGTGCACGGTTTCGTGATGACGCCCTCGGGGCATCATGTCATGGAATCTGGAGGCGGAGCTGAGGCTCAGCAGGCTTGCATGATTCATGCAGCAGTTCATTTCAAACGAGACAAGAAGTGGCTGCTACATTCGGATCTGACTACTGTCACGAGCTTTGTGATCGCTGTGAAGAAACAGTTCCAACCTCTCAGGGACCACCTCGGCAGGCCGATCTTCCAGCTCGGACCAACACATGCCGACACAGTCAAGCAGCAGGTCCGAGGCAATCGCTAAAGGCGAACTGCTCCTTTCTTTGTCACTGTCAAAGTGACCCACCAATCAGAGCCGCTTCACTTTTGCAAAACATGGAGGCCGGAATTGCCAGGGTTGAGCAGTGCTGCCTCTCTCTCTTCAGCACCATGACATGTTCTGCAAAAGTTGAGCTGTGCTTCATGTGTCGCATCTCTCTCCCTCTTACATCTCAAGCCAAGAATTTTGTTCGAAGGTCTGCAGCGATACTTAGCACAGCATCATGGCACGACAGGCACCAAGGAGGAATGATTCTCGTTCGCGCAGCCGGAACCGAGGGCGGCACACACAGCGGCGAGATCGCAGCGCTTCCAGACAGCCTCCAACATATCGCCATCAGGAACCTCTTGAGCTTCCGAGGACTTGGAGATCAAGCCCCACCGAGTATGATACCAATCGGGAATATGGCTTGAATTTGCCTCGTCAGGTGGTTTCCAACAAATTCACTCGTGATCTGCAAATCGATGGCATGGACATCTTTGACATTCGACTTGCTCAGGTGATGACAGGAGGCCTGACGAACTGGGGACTCAGGTCTTTAGCCAATGGCCGTCACACGGTCTGGGAATCGTTCAAGTCCCGACAGGAAGCCATTACCGCAGGGACCTTGATGCGAGCTTTGAGAGGAGAGAACTCGACTCATTACAGTGGTGCAGATCTCAATTCCACCTTGACCCACAAACATGTTTCCAGGGCAAGACCCGTACCTGTGGGACAACCGGTACACAGCCATTAAGGAATTAGCCAAGGAGCTCGCGAAGGTTGTGGCACAGAAAGGACCGTCAGCAGCGAATCAGTCCATGTTGCAGCAGATTCAAGAGCTTCAACGAGAGAATGCCCGACTGAAGAGTGAGAAAGCTCAAGGATCCAGGTCAGTCACCCCAGCCAGCCCGGCTCATACCCCACCTCCCAAAGGGGCTCGCACCCCCAAAGGCTCGGCTGCTGCAGGTCTTACCCCTCAAGCCAGCCAAGGATCTCAGGCATCAGGTGGACAACCAACTCCACCATCATATCGTCGACCCAAAGATCGCCAGAGTTCAGCTGAGGCGACAGAAGGCCCGGTTCGCAGCTTAGAAGACTTTTGGAATGCTCGCCCTACTGATGCAGTACCAGAGGATTTCGAATTAGCAGATGAACATGAGGGCAATGATGATCTCGCCACTCTCGCCGGTAGCCCGGATTTTCGTCCCGAGGACTATGATGAGGCCGATCCTGTCGACCCCCTTGATACAGTACAACAGTTCGAGCGAACTACTCAAGCTAGGTTCCTTGAGGAATGCAAACTTGATAATTACAAGGTGAACACCATCAACAATTGGGTGTCTCAAAAGGTCGGCAAGGACAAGATGGCTCAGGTTCGCCTGGCAGGTTCGGAATTGGCAGAGCCATAGAACGACTTCCCGCGGGGAATCGTCCAGCTGTTGATGCCATTGCAGTCCAATGGGGACTTCCAGTCAATGCTGCTGCTAGGATCAATGAGAGATCTTTGTATCAGTTGATCGCCACCTGTTACGTGTTAGGACAGGAGTGACTCACAGAACCCCCGACAGCCAGGGCCTCACGTCGCACCAGAGACTCCACTAACACCGTCTCCAGGCCTCAAGTTGTTCGCTTTCTTCAGGCATTTTTCCGATGGTTTGCATTGCTATTGCCTGCTCTTTTTCAGTTACTACCACACACCATACTTGATCGTTTGCTTTG